CAGAACAGAGAAAAATGGAAGGAAAAAGAACAGAATTTGGCAATTTCAGATGTATAAAGACACAGCTGGAAAATGGACTTGAGGGTTTCATTTGCAGAAGGACTCATTTGTTGCATGTCACTAATGACGGCCTGTGGGATCTGAAATAGTCTTGACTCACAAGCTCAGTGACCTGTGTGAGATCCAGAAATATCCAGTTGAATAGAACGGAGGTACTGATAAGTGAAGAGGCAAAAAGGACTGAATATTGTGTGTTTACAGAGAAGGAAGATCACAGCCAATCTGACTGCCTGAGTCAGGCCAGAGCAAAAGATGAACGTCTTCTGAACAAGGCGTTTGTGGGTTTACTGGTTCACAACCAGGCAGAGCCTCCACCTGATGGAGAAAGAACCCAGAGGAGTAGCTCAAGGATAGTAGAAAGCTACAAATTGTGAAACCTGCAACTAGGACTAGCTACATAATATACAGTGTCCAGGAGAAAATAAAATGTAAGGGATCCTTGTTCAAAAAGTATTAAGAATTTCAAGACTGTGACAGCAGAGTATTAAACCAAACTTGAGGGACTTCTGAAAACAGGGTCCTGTCAACGGCATAAGTTGCATGTCCATGAAGCCAGCCTTTCCTGGAACACATGGGCTATCAGAGCTGACAGTGGGGATGTGGAAGAAAAGGAGAGCATCCTCACCCCTGCTAAAATAAAGACTAGAAGAAGGAGCAGAAGGAAGAGGAGGGGGAGCATGACGTGGGTCGAGGGGAAGAAGAAGAAGGGTGAGGAGGAGGAGGAGGAGGAGGAGGAGGAGAAGAAGGGGAAGGGGAGGGGGAGAAAGAGGAAGAGGACGAGGAAGAAGGAGAAGAGAAAGAAGCCCCTAAGCAAGGAGTTAGCCCTGGAGAGATCCTCTAGATGGTCACCCAGCTCAATAGGCTAGCTTTTTCTGTTGGTCATTCAATTACAGGTGAATGAGAAAAGACTTTGTTTAAGAAAAAAAAGCAAGCAGAGCTATGGAAAAAACTTTTAGCTGCAACACACTGTAAGAATTGTCCTTAATTTGTGTATTTTACATATTATGTGAATCTCTTGAAAAATCTAATGAAACTGTGGATCCTCAACTAAGATAAAAACATACACTCAAAATTTTACCCCTTCCCTCAAAGATATAAGGGTCTCATAGATCACCTGGCTCTAACTATAGGAATTTCTGTTTTGGGGTGAGCTCCATCCCACGCCTGAAAATGTCCTTACATTCGTTGTGGTGAGCAGAATGTTTTTCTTCTTTGGTTCTTTTGCACCATTGACAGGTCTACAAAATGTTTTCCAGGAAGATCAAGTGAAATTTAAATAAGGCTGTTGTCACGAAAGTTAGTTAAGGTTCAAACTGCTACTGAAAACCGAAGGGATTGCCTCAAAGCATTTTGAGGTAACAGGATGCACCAATGTTGAAATTGTCCTAGAGGTCTGCAGGGAAAAATATGGTTTTGTCCATTTATGCGTGTAAAGGTGGAGATAAGGAATATGTTTGAAATGAACACTAGAAACATGATAACCAGTCATTTTTTAAGAAACAACCTTCCAGGTGACTTAAAATCTTGGTAAATAGAACTGCCTCATTTACTGGAAATGCGGAGAAGTAGGGAAAAACACTGAGTGAAGGAGATTTTCATGTTGTCCTCAGGGGCATAAAGAGCCCTATGCCATTGGGAACTACAGATAAAGAAAAGCTGACTACTCTACTCTGTTTTCAGAATGACTTTCTGTTTGTAGTAAGGAGAGTAAATGGGGCTACCTCCATCTCCTTCTCATTGATCTCTCCTCCTGCTCCCTACAATGGTAACATAGGAATGTTCCACCAGATAATTAAGGAGAAGAAAGTCTTGAAATTCAAGTTGTAAGGTGCTTAGAGGCAAGTAGTCAGAAAATAATATCAATTCATGAAAGCATCTACAAGGAAAGAAAGTGTCCACAAATACAGTTCCAGAGTGAGAGGTGTGCCTAAAGGCCACCAGAATGTCTTATGTGAACTTAACACTTGCAGCTGAAGCAGATCAACCCTCATTACAGGTGTACACTAATGCCTGACTCATCAGCAGGACAGTCCTTATGATCAGACGCACATGAGGAGGGGAGCACTATGCTGCTCACTGAGCATTTTCTCTGTTTTTAGAGCAAAATTCCATCAAGTGAAAAAAAGATGTGGGTAGGTCTGGAACTATAACCAGCTCTGTCACCACCTTACTCTCTGAGTGAAATTGGGTAACATTTAGCTCAGTTGCAACTTTTTCAAAATAAATGAATCAAATTAGATGATGTGGGGCCTGCCCTACCATACTGAATATCAAGGAGGTAATACCTTAGCATTTAGAAAGTCAGAACTTCATGAATCTAATTCCAGTTAGTGATTCTGATTCTGGCTCCACTGTTTATGAATTCCATGATAGTGGCAAGTTATTTAACCTGTCCTACCTTAATTTTCCCAGCTATAAAATGAGAAATGCAATTGTCATGAGGAATAAGATAGTTGATTCAAAGCTTAGAAAAGTGTTTCACATACAGTAAGGATGTGATGTGTACTGCAAGAAATAGAATTAAGAGTTTTTTCAGAACTGATCTTTCCCCTCTACTTCTTTGCCCACAGCCACTGATAGAAGGGCATGCCCTCTTTCAGAGCTAAAACTCTAGATTCCTGAGCCCATTAATTTGTAAAGCCATAGAAAATCTGATTTTTAAGGATGGAAAATCCTTGTACTTTGTAGACCTGACTTTGAGACTTGAATAAA